CAAGAGATGATGCTTTGGAACGGAATCTTTTTTCTATTCAAGAAAACGTGTGATTCGTAACTTTACCGATTAAGACAAATTTATGAGCGATAGATTTAAATGACTTGAATACGTCGGTCTCTCTATTTTCTAGAACCAGCTCTTGGGTACGTCGGCTTAATAAGTTAAGAGAGAAGATATTTGACCGGTTGAAATAGAATCATGCTTTTCTTTGAATAAAATGGTCACAAGAAGCTAAAAAGAAAAACGACGTCAACAAAAAGAAGGAACAAACAAAAGAATATACTGACAATAAAATACGGTCACGAAAACTAGAGAACGTATTTTATTTTTAGACCATGATAATAGTTTTTATATTGAAATTTTTAATCGGTTAAAAAAAAAAATAGTCGGTTTATATACACGTCGTATATTTTCGTAAAGCAAGATTTGGTACCAAAACAATTAAAGGATAAACAGGTAGAAAGCTAAATATTGGGTTTTAATTAGGAAAACAACATCACTCAAATGAGTTAGAAGAAACTAGCTAAAGGGTGACGAACAGTGATTTATGGATTTGATTATTTATGTTTGATGTCATTGTATGCGCGTGGGGTAGAAAACTAACTAAATATGTACAACTGAATAAAGTAAGAAGAGGTGTTAGCAAAATCAGATAACTGTAGGTTTGGCATTAAATGAGGAGACAGGATATTCTCCTCGCCGCCTGACGTATGCATGAAATAGTCTGAGGTGATGTGTAGTTAATGCGATATAGTAATGCTTCAACAAGAAGTTTTCGAGGGACGTGACAGAAAAATAAAAATATCTCGGTACACCTAGGTTTGTGGAGTGTCAGCTGATAACTTGGAGAATGAATGTACATATTATATACGTGATAAACATATACATATATTATAATGTAGCGTGTTATTTGATATGATAGAGGTGTATGTTTCTAAATGAATAGCGTAAACTAAATGTAAGTCTACAAAGAGTAATAGTTATCTACTAATTTTGATAGATGGTTATTGTCTAGTTTGTAGTGTTATTCAAAATGAAGGGTAGTTTTATGTATGAAGAAAAATGTACATATATATTATATTATAACATGTAATTTGATCTGATGGGGGTTTATAATGATAAATGAGTAAAGTAAACTAAATGTAAGTGTACAAGATGTTGTAGTTGTCTACTAACACTGAGAGACGATTACCAGCTGTTTTGGAGTGTTATTTAATATAATAGGTAATTACATGTATGAAGGGGAAAACTATTTACTTTTAAGTTTACAATATGTTATAGATATCTAACTACATTTAAGCCATGTGACAATCGCAAACTCGCGTAGAGAGGATTTGATTGGCTTCCCCCGAATATAGACCAAATCTCATGCTTTTTGACATTGTTAGGCTGTCTGGTTAGAAGAAAGTGGGCAAGTTTCACAGATGGAGCGGTTTTATGGTACAAGCCAAGCAGCTTTCTAAAGCATGGACATATGACATTCAGTTCCTCCGATGTGAGGGCTTTGAGAACAGCACCAATTGATTCAAGCTTAAAGTACGAGTTGACCCTGCCACCCATTGGCTCTTGATGATCTGTAAATAGACGATGCAGGAGATCATTGGTAGCCATACCTGCACAGTAAAGGATAGTAAAAAGTTATCAGATAAACAGACAAGTTTAGATAATGTTTTGTAAGATCTAAGTGCGGTGATGGATGTCTATTTATCCGAGATGATGTACATATATAAATATGAACTCTATACTGTGATTTAGATATCCTATGGAATCAGATAACTAGATAATTTTAAATGATATTTTTAAGGTCTAACTAAGGTGATAAACGAATATTTATCCAAAATAATTTACTTATTTAAATGTGAATTCTATATCGTGATTTAGATATACAATAAAATCAAATAAACATGCAAGTTCTGATATATATTCAATATAAGGTACATACATATATGTTCACATAAAAATATATACCTCCATTAAAGAATATAGATTTGTAAAAAGTAAAGTAAGCATACATAAACTAACATAGCATATATGTATACAACATATGATATATACAAACATTTGAGATCTGACAGATGTGAGAACAAGATCAAAGCAATAGCTTAAAATGCTGGATTAGAGCGATCGCTCAGTTAATCAATCCATAGAGCGAGATCAATCAAATATGATCTCGAAAACCCAACGATGAGTGTGAGAATAAGATCTTACTTGGGAAAAAATGGAGAATCTCAGAAGTTAGGTTTCGGCAGAAAAGTTGATGGCTCTGTAACCCTAGATCTGATGGTATATTGATTGTTTTGAGATGATTTTCCGTTATCGGAGATGTATGTGGACGAGTAGCGAGAACGATGCCAATGATGTGGAGAGTGAAGATTTGGCCGAGGCGGTGGTGGTCAGATCGGAAATAGATAATGAGATCATCTTGGCCTTGTTGGAGCCACCGAGATGGTGTCGTTGAAAAGAAAGAAATTGGGGTCAGAAGGTACCAAAAGAGAAGAAGAATTACATTAATGAAGAAAGATGAAGGTGGATGGTAAATAGATAAGGATAAGATAAACAATTGTTGCAATCAAATAAATATTCAGTGGAATAACATGATACAAATAGATAGCGCATAGGAGTATTTTGGAGAGAGAGAGTGTGGTAAAATATTTTAATGTTTGGACAGAAAAATACTATTGTCGATTTTTACTACTGGTCTTTTGCCAATGGTATTTCCCAAAAATTAATTGGTGAAAGAAAATTTAGAAGTTTGCTCTAAATATCCACATGGTGTCTCGGTCAAGGCTAAACCGAGTGTGCTGACATTTAACCGGTTTGGTGAAAAGAAACGGTTTAAAATCGTGGTCACGGCACGAAAGGACAAGATGATGAATGCGACTGAAAAGGGTCAGTACCAATTTGGATGGTTTAGTTGGACTGATAACTTCCATGTTGTTAGGAGTCCGATTGCTGTTTCTTTAGCTTGATTTGTTGTTTTCGGGCTATTTTAGTTAGTTTGGATTTTAGAGGTGTTAATCTAAAGAAAAATCGAAGATGTTTTTATTATCACTCTACGGAGTTCAAATTTAAAGAAGTATTATTGTCGTTATTACTTGTGAAGATGTACGAAGAAATTGCAATAAGAAATTACGTATTAGCATGATGAAGTGAATATCATTGGATCTGTTGCAATTTAATTTACGCTTTAATTAATTTGCAGTGAATATATTCGAAATTATATCCAATGTGCAGCGAGATCAAATCCTTAACTGTTCAAATCATTTCCAATTTGAATATTCAAGTTCATTGTTTCTTTATTAGTTCCTCACATTGTCATTTTTCTTTTGGGTTTTGTCAGTGCATATGTTCTATTTTGGAGAACATAGAGTGATATATAAAGCCTTACATGAAACTGAAAATCATTACCAATGTTATCTTCAATCTGTTAAGGAATCTGTACAAGACGCCAAATCATCGCTATTGTATAGCTACAAACACAGCATTAATGGCTTCGCTGTTGAACTAACACATGATGAAAGTACGTAAAAAATTAACCCGTACAAAATTAAAATGAAAAGTTAATTTTTGAATGAAACCAAATTAATATTTTGTTGAGCTTGAATAGTATGTGGTTTTTTTTTTATGTTTTCACGTTTTTAAAAATCATTATGCTAGTGTATATAATTAGAAAAAAATAAAACATGATTAATCTACTAAAATTAAGGATCTGAGCTGTATGCAGTTTTTTTTCCACATTTTCACACTTTAAAAATGTAATTCCATTAAATTTTATTATTCATATTATTTGTCACGTTTCTTCTTAGAATGGGATTCACTAGCATGTTAAATAAAAAAAAATGTGATTAATTTACTTAAATAGCTTTTTAGCATTTTACAACTATTTAGTAAATATTTTATCCAGTTCGGTTTATCTCACTAACAATTTTTTTTTTAATTATTTTGTTATTCATTTGATACACTAGTCAGATCTTAAGTTTTTCATGTTTTAAAAACATAATTCTATTAATTTTTTTACTAAACAAATTGTTTTTGGTAAATTGCCGTAAAACAGAAAACATATTCTGCATGTATATCTGAGAAAAAGATTTTCTTAACGTGAACATTTTACTATGAAAATTTAAAGGGTATAAAACTCAAAATAATCAGACCAGTCAATTATAATACCAAAATATTTCAACCACATTTTTTATTATATGGTAATACAGATAGACTCCAAGCCGAAATCAAAACTAGTTTTTATCTCTATTTTTCCGTCAAACTTGTAAACAAATCGGATATATTCCATATAAAGTGTTTACATTGAATAAGAAAATAACTATATATGAAGATTCTTATACATGATGGAACTTGTTTGATATGATAGCCTTGATCAGTTGATCTACATGATGAATTCTCTATGTCTCGATTCACTCATAACAAACTATTGGACCAGACGATCTTAGTGTCAACAGTAGTTTGACAGCATTAAACTTGAAAAAGGTAGAAACATATTCCAGGTGATTCTGAATTATTCTCTCTATAGCTGTCGTCTAACTCTAGTTCTTATTCTATCCTATTCTCACCTCCCGATACGAAAGAAGATACTGTATATAAATCAGATTGTCTAAATGTTAATGAAAACTTATCGTAGACTTCGACCAATATGATGAATGTTCGACTATTAGATTACCACAGTTAGTTAAAATCTTATTTGCTGTCACTATTAGACTATTTGCTGTCACTATTAGACAGCAAGAAAAAAGAAAAACAAATACTATATCTAAATCCCAACTAAACTAGTAAAAACATTTTACCATGTAAAACGTTTTTTAGTGGCCAACATGGAGCCTAAATGAATAAGACATATCTTAGACTTCGACCAGTAAGATGAATCTTCATCTATTGGATTACTACGATATAAGTTCAAATCGTCATTTGCTAAGAAATTTTTATTTTCTTTACATATAAAACTTCCATAGACAGTTTGAAGTTGTTGCTCTTTGTCTAGTATATAAATAAACCCATCAGACCCCTATAGACCCATTAGGCCGATGACATTTCACCAAACAAAAAACGCCATGAAGCTCACTTCTCTCTTCCCTCTCCTCTTTCTCGTCCCTCTCTTAGCCTCATGCGCTGAAAAGAAACAGGTTCTTACTATCTTTTTTGTTTTTTTGTTTTTATCATTCTACACTTTAATTTGCAGTGTTCTCAATTCCAAATATGCATTGATTTGCTCCCATAGAGGGTTCAAGTCGTATATATGTTTCCTTACTAAATTCCTCTCATTAAATCATAGGTGTATATTGTCTACTTTGGAGAACATAAAGGTGATAAAGCTTTTAACGAAATTGAAGAACATCACCATTCTTATCTTTTATCGGTTAAAGAATCTGAACAAGACGCCAGATCATCGCTATTGTATAGCTACAAACATAGCATCAATGGCTTCGCAGCTGAGCTAACCCCTGAAGAAGCCTCTAAACTAGAAAGTAAGTAAAACCCCAAAGAAATGTCAAAACCCAATGTATATCTTGTTATGATTGAATAAAGGTATTTAACCAAAACCCAATTTTGCTGATTTTTATGTTTAAAAAAAAAAAAAAAAAAAAACAGAGTTAGAAGAGGTTGTTTCGGTAATCGAGAGCCACCCAAGAAAACATGAAACACATACGACACGGTCATGGGAATTTGTAGGATTAGAGGACGAGGAGAAACCCGACGAGGTTGATGTTCGACGTCAAAAAAACCATGTGGATGATGATCGGTTTCGCGTCGGAAGAAAGTTTCTGAAGCATGCAAAGCATGGAGATGGTGTCATCGTCGGTGTTATCGACAGTGGTAAATTAAACTGTCTCATTCTGAATATTTAGAATATTATTGTTTATTGATAGCAAAATCCGAAGAATAGGGTTTCTTATTTCTTTTTGTTTTCGTGGTAAACTAGACCATTTCCGTTAGAGTTTTCATGCTAAATAACCATACTATAAAAAAAAACACTATGAACTTTTAAGTTTGTAAAAAAACATGAAATTGCGTGTTATTTTCTAAATAACATGTTACTTTGTCGAATAGCACGGTCTTTGTTAAAATAACATGTTATTCAATAAAATTACCTTCTACTTACATTTTTTTTGTAAAAATCGTAATTCTTTTTCCGTAAACGAAAATTGTGTAACGCTTAAAACTCCGGTATAAAAATGAAAATGGTGTACATTCATGTGAACCTTAGTGTTTCCTCACGCACGCACATAAGATGGGGTTTCAATATTTAAAAAATACTTATATTTTGTTTTGAATTCTAAGAATAGTTACTGTTTTTTTGTTTTTGATGAAAACGTTTTCCAAACTTAATTGGACCTAACTCCAACGTTGATAGTTGAATTATTATGTGACTAGACATAAAGAGTTGCGTATATGATCAAAATTTTCAAGATTCAAGGAATTTTTGTAGTAGTTTATCTTTAGCTTCTTTTCATTATAACATTACAAATCCGTTATTGCTTATTTGTGCTATTTAATTGAGAGAATAATTTGTTTATTTCATATCTTTTTGGGGGGTGAATAAAAAGGAGTGTGGCCAGAATCAAAGAGCTTCAGTGACAAAGGAATGGGGCCCATTCCAAAATCATGGAGAGGAATCTGCCAAACCGGATTTGCCTTTAACTCTTCTCACTGCAACCGGTAAGAGGAATCATACCAAATCCTTTTTTCTTCTCTTAAAGAAAATAAATATCTTCACTTTTTTATTTATAAGTCAAATATATAATTTTCTGACAAAAACAGCTTCATTTAGTTGACAGTCAAACAAATAGATATAGTTTCTTTTGATACAACGGCATATCCATAATATAGAGTACGTACAAAGACATATATGTGATTTTATATTTATGCTTTGACTTCAATCAGAATTAGTTAAAAAAATTAAAATTAAAAAAAAAAAAAAACTAGAGCTATTTGTTTTGATGGAAGGCTTGCAGATTTCGTTGCGTCCGTCATATTGATTTTTATAATAAAGTTTTCAAATCTTTTAAATTATAGCTAGAGTAATTTCTATTTGACACAAAATAATTAGATGCCTATTAGTTATATCACCTTTGGTTTTCTTTAGTCACCTATGAGTTATTTTTATCTAATTACAGGAAAATTATTGGAGCAAGGTATTACGCGAAAGGATACGAAAGGTATTACGGATCGTTCAACGCTACAGCAAACAAAGACTTCTTGTCTCCACGAGACCCCGACGGACATGGATCCCACACAGCCTCTACCGCTGTTGGCCGCCGAGTCAACCGTGTATCCGCTCTCGGCGGTTATGCCATGGGCTCGGCCTTAGGCGGTGCACCGTTGGCTCGTCTAGCCGTCTACAAAGCCTGTTGGGCCTATCCCAACCAAGAAAAAGTATTTGGAAACGTATGTCTAGGAGAAGACATGCTTGCGGCGTTTGATGACGCGATCGCTGATGGCGTTCACGTTATTAGCATTTCGGTCGGGAGTTTCGATCGTTTGCCGTATTCGCAAGATGGAATCGCGATAGGAGCGTTGCATGCGGTTAAAAGAAATGTTGTGGTTGTGGCTAGCGCGGGGAACTATGGGCCGACACCTGGGACTTTGTCGAATCCGGCACCTTGGCTTATTACTGTCGGAGCTAGTAGCCTTGATCGGGATTTCATCGGAGGACTTGTTCTTGGTAATGGCTATACAGTCGAGGTAATCATCTTGTCCACCAATAAACATATCAGAAATTTCTTATTATATATGTTACACATTCGTATAACACATAGTTTTTATTTTGTGCTATTTAAGACGGAGTCGATTACGGCATTGAAAATGAACAAATTTGCACCTCTTGTTTACGCTGGTGACGTGTCTGTTCCTGGAATTGCATTGAACAACACATACACAGCGTAAGATTTGTTACAATGTTTACCTTATTCAAAAAAAAAATTATTTTCGATGATTAGTGTTGTATTTAGTTTTAAAATTTTAACTAACAATTTTTTTTTTTTTTTTTTTTTGTGAAAGGCAATGTTTACGGAATTCACTAAAACCGGAGCTTGTGAATGGTAAAGTGGTTTTTTATGTTTAAGAGGAGCCGGTACAAGTATCGGTAAAGGTTTAGAGGTAAAAACGAGCCGGAGGAGTCGGTATGATTCTCGGGAATTCTGCAGTACCTTACTCTCACTTCGTTGCAACTGCCTCTGTTACCCCCACGGTGGTCGAAAAAGTTCTCGACTACATCAAAACTGGAAAAAACCCGACGGCTTTTATCATACCGGGGAAAACGGTTTACAAATACCAACCAGCTCCTTCAATGGCCGGGTTTTCTAGCCGCGGTCCGAACTTGGTAGACCTTAACATTCTAAAGGTGAACAAACTTTTTTTTTGTTCTTTTTTTAACTCCAGAACAAACCAAAACGATGCCAACCGGTTTAACTTTTTTACCGATTTTTACAGCCGGATATTACCGCACCGGGACTGAACATACTAGCTGCATGGAGCGGAGCGGATTCACCGAGCAAAGTTTCGATCGATCATAGAGTTGCAGATTATAATTTCGACTCAGGAACTTCTATGTCTTGTCCTCATGTTTCTGGTGCAATTGCTCTTCTCAAAGTTATTCATCCCAAATGGAGTAGTGCTGCTCTAAGATCTGCTCTTATGACCACTGGTAAACCAAAAACAATTCCCGATTATTTTTGATATGTTCGGTTTATCTAAACCGGAATCTTGTTAAATGTGTTTGAGATTTACGTAATTGTGTTTTGATGTTTTGTTGTTGTTATAGCTTTTATGACCAATGATGAGAAGAAACCGATCCAAGACACTAATGGTTTACCCGCAAACCCGTTTGCGCTTGGGTCTGGACATTTTAGACCAACAAAAGCTGAGGATCCCGGTTTAGTCTACGACGCATCTTACCAAGATTACCTTCTCTATGGTTGCTCAGCTGGTTTAACCAATATTGACCCGACATTCAAATGTCCACGTAAAATCCCTCCCGGTTATAATCTCAATTACCCGTCAATTGCTATCCCGAATCTCCGCAGGAAGGTGACGGTTAAAAGAACGGTAACAAATGTTGGAGATGATAACTCAACAACCACATATAAATTCAGCTCTAAGCCGCCACATGGTTTCTCGGTCAAGGCTAAACCGAGGGTGCTGACATTTAACCGGATTGGTCAAAAGAAGCGGTTTAAAATCGTGATCAGGGCACGGAGGCATAAGATGATGATGAATGCGAGTGAAAAGGGTCAATACCAATTTGGATGGTTTAAATGGACTGACAACTACCATGTTGTTTAGGAGTCCGATTGCTGTTTCTTTAGCTTGATTTGTTGTTTGCTTATTTTGGGTTTCTTTGGTTAATTTGGATTTTAGAGGGATCAACGTGAAAGAAATAAAATATATTTTTCTAATCACTCTCTAAATATTCCTTCCTGTGTTTTAATTTTTTAAACCAAAGAAGTATGCTCATCGTTATTACTTGTCCCTTAAATCTATACTAGATAAAATGAACTATTTGAGACTCTTTAAGCTATCTACCTCAGCTTTTCAAACTATTCTAAAAATATGATACATCAGCAAAAAATAATAATACAAATTCTCACTTTAGATTGTTTTTTGAAATACATATAAAATAAATAAATAAAACAAAAATTAATATAGTTAAATACAAGAGTAAATAAATCTAAAATATTATTTTTTTGAATCAGTAAAATAAATATTATTTAAATCTATAGCATCAATATATACTCTTTTGTTTGTAATATAACAAATTAACAATAATGAAAATTCTCACTTTAGATTTTTTTGAAATACACATAAAATAAAATAAAATAGAACCATTAAATTAATATAGTTATTAGCAAAAACTAAATAAAATTATATATCATTTTAATCAGTAAAATAAATATCATTTAAATCTGTAGCATTAATATATACTCATTTTTGTCACTAAAATTAATATAGTTACCAACAAAAGTAAATAAAATTAAAATATCATTTTTTGAATCAGTAAAATAAACATCATTTAAATTTATAGCATCAATATATACTTCTTTTGTTTGTAATATAACAATAATAAAAATTTCACTTTATATCTTTTGAAATACATATAAAATAAATAAATAGAACCACTAAGTTAATATAGTTATTAGGAATAAGTAAATAAAACTAAATATCATTTTCTAAATCAGTAAAATAAATATCATTTAAATCTGTAGCATTAATATATACTCCTTTTTGTAATATAGTGAATATATTGGACAACAAAATTGCTCTAAAAAACTTAAATAATAGTTAATAGAAACAAGATTACAAAATAATAAATTCTAAAATAAAATTTAAAACATTTACAAATTATAAAAATCTAAAACATTCACCTTTTAGAAACATACAGATTAAACATCATAGTACGTTAGATTTATGGCAACCAACAAGACAACATAAATTATAGGAAGCTTTTCAAAGCATCTATCTATATGAAGATTTCGATCATCATTACTATTTACATTGCAGAAATGATAGATAAAAGAAGAATTTCATGCACTGATATTTATTCAATGTGTGTCTTAGTTGGCTTAAGGTAGTCAAGTTACTACAGGCGATACATGTCAACACAGGAGTTAAACAGTTTATAAACAAAAATTAAGTTTTAGATGACAGTTAATTTTTATATATATCAAGTTAGTAAATTTTTAAATTAAATAATAATGCATTTTTGAAAAAAATAACATACACATTTTTATGTAGAAGAAAATGTCTAAAAAAATCTCTAATTATCCACATCAACAAAATTCCTTATAAACCCAACTTGAATGAAAAACTAATATGGTTTTTTTTACTGGGTTAAGAAACTCCTTTCAAAATAATATAATATATATTATTAGTTTAATTATAAAGGCTCATCAAAATATATATGTGTAGTTTAAGAAAAAATGTTTAAGTTAAATTACAAGAATTTTTTTTTACATCTTTTAAGTTTTGAGAAATTCAACATACTTTATTTAACATAATGAGTTAGTATGAAATTGTATTTGTATATGTATTACTTGCCTTATTCATCTATATTTTTTATAGTTTACGTATACTTCATAGACCAAATCAAAATTGCATTTTATCAATATGATTGTGATTTTTTATACTATGTAAATATTATTTTTATTTATATGAATCATAGTTATTTTATAGATTTATAAGAGATTAGAACATTGAGTGATGTTGTATTTGAGATTGCTAATTAAATAAAAAACACTACACGAACACAGTTGAAAATAAAAATAAAAATCTAAATTTATTGGAAAATTAATAATCAAATTTAGTCAAAACAAAAAATAATTTTAATAATATTTTGAAAAGTTAGTAATGAATAACAGTGATTTTATATACAAATATTAAATTTTAGATTAACAGTTAATTTTAGCATATATCAAGTAGGTAATTCTTAAAATTATATCATGATACATTTTTTGAATACGTTAAAATATTTTTGATGTATAATCATATCAAAAAAATTTTAAAAAAATTAAATATTATATTTAAAATATTAACTTAAAGTGAAAATAAATTAACTTAAATAATAATCAAATATCTATATAAAAACAATCCGCGCGTAGCGCGGGAAAACATCCCCTAATCAATACAACAATAACCCATAAGTCTTTCCATGGCTTGACACATCAGCATTTTCAAGCTTTTAGGAGATAACACTTCAGCAAAAAAAAACACCAATAAAAACATTTTATTAATACAAGTCATCAATATATTTTAACTTTTAAATTTAAACTCATTAAAAACCCAAATATTTTTATTGTTAATTTTAGTTTTATTTTTTGGTCAAGCCCAAGCCCAAATAATAAAAAAATCAGCAAAAAAATTGTTTTTTATTTTGTTGCCAAACCCAAATAATAAATAACAACAAATATTAAATTAAATCTTTGTTTTATATTTTTTGCCAAACCGAAACTCAAATAATAAATAACAGCAAAAAAAATTAAAATTTCTACCTATGTGTTTGCTTGATAGATACGTATATGATTGAAGAAAGTGTAGACTCATCATCAACTATGGTTCCATAACAACAATGCAAAAAGCCTTATGTTATAAGAAGCTCACACATCAGCAAAAATTTGAAACCAATAAAAACATAACAATACATACATATTATTAACACACTAATAAAATCAATTTACTATTTTGCTGACCCATTTAAAAAGCCCAAAGTTTACAAAAAAAAAATGGAAGGTGAAAGCAAATGAGGAGAAACTCAGACCACCACAGCTTGGAGATTCGCATTTCCACTAGTTACCGAGAAACAAATTTTTTTGGGTTTGACGGAAATAGAAAATTTATTGGTTTTGGTAGAAAAAAAATGTGATTTCAGTTTTGTTAGGAAAACATAGTTTCTCGGTTATGGCGGAAAAAAAAACGAATTTCTCGGGTTTGGCAAAAAAATGTGAATTTTTTTGTTTTTGTGAGAAATAAAAAATTTGATTTTAACGAGAAAACGCGAGAGAAATGCAAAAAAACTTTTTCAATTTTGATGAAAAAATACGATTTTCTCGGTTTTGATAGAAAATGCAATTTTTCGGCTTTTGATGGATAATGTAATTTCTTGATTTTTGCAGAAATTGTAATTTGACAAATTTTGTCAGAAAATGCAATTTTTCGGGTTGATAAAAAAGCAAATTTCTCGATTTTGGCGGGAATAAACAAGTTCTTGGTTTTTGATAGAAAATGCAAATTTTCAGTTTTTGACATATAATTTGATTTTTTGGTTTTCGAAGGAAAATATGATTTCTTAGTTTTTGCGGGAAATGCAATTTCTCATGAGATAATACAATTTTTGGTTTTCGCGGAAAATTGTAGTTTATCGGTTTTGGTAGGAAGACGTGATTCTTGATTTGACGAGAAAAAAATATTTTTCTTGTTTTGGTGGGAATAAACGATTTTTGCGGAAAAATATCTTTTTGGTTTTGACGAGAAAATACTATTTTTTTTGTTTTGCAGGAAGATGAATTTTTTTGGTTTTAGTGAAAAACTTGATTTCTCTGTTTTGATAGAAAAAACACAGGGTTCTAGCGAAAAAAATGTGATTTTTTTGGTTTTTTTGAGGGAAAAATGTAATTTCTTTGTTTTGGTAGGAAAATGAAATTTCAGGTTTGACGAGAAAATGAATTTTTTTGGTTTTGGCGGGAATATGCGATTTCTCAGATTTTGTGGGAAAATATTTTTTTTTTTTGTTTGTCGGAAATACAATTTCTCGGTTTTTGTAAAATGATAAAATTTCTTTGTGCTAATTTTCAAAGTTACAATATGTTTATAGTAACCAAAACTGAATTATTTAACTTCAACTAAATTGATATTTCAACAGTTCAAATAGAACTTTCTATTTAGTTCTAAAGTAATAGTAATGATTTTGATATTAATGTTATTGATTATAGTTTGGTAGTTTTAGAAACATATGTCTATAATAAATATTTGATAAACAAATAAAATTTATAGTTTAAAATAATCATATTAATTAATATTTTTTAAATGGTAATTTGCTTTATATAATTTTTAAAGAGGATCAAGTAGCAATTTAGTAGAAAAAAATTACATTACATTTACTTTTAGCATTAAAGTACTTAAAAATGTATTGTTTTATTCTTACATATACATTTATAGATAGTTAACTAAACAAATTTGATAGTAGATTAAAATTTTTTAAAAAATAAAAAATTAATGATATATAATGTTTATTCAGATTTAAAATATATAAATACATAACTTAAGCTAATAAAAAATAAATATAATACTCATTTACATTATAGAACTAATTTTATTATATTAAAAATATATACAAATCTAGAAAAAATATTCGACAGCGTAGGGTGGATAAATACCTAGTCCAATCAAATGTCAAAAGAAAATAAGATATACAGCATATCAATAAAATCCCTATCTTGATTCTCGTAACAAATATATACGATTCCCTAGGCTTATTTTTCCGTGTTTATGTATAGATAATACCAAAATGTCTTAGAATATTCCTCAAACTCTATTTAACTAATGTACTCCAATATATCAAAAGTAAATGGATTATTTTAAGTCATGAAACTAGTTTAATACGAAGCAACTATCGTAGAATGGTATATTCTCAAAACAGCAATCGGTGATTATCATTATTAATTAACTATGATCTCAAATTCTCAACTAACATTTTTCATAGCCTATCAAACACCCTATAAAGTATAAAACATTAGGGTTACAACAATTTCGCCAAACCAGACAAAAGAAATAAAAACCTAAGGCCATGAGACGCGTTTCTCTCTCCCTTCTCCTTTTTCTCGTCCCTCTCTTAGCTTCATGCGCTAAAGAGAAGCAGGTTATTATCTGTCTGTTGAAATTTAATTTATCTATTCAACACTTTAATGTGCACTGAATCTCAATTCCAAATGTGCATCTAGTTGTTACCTTAACGTGTCCAAATCCCATATCATTTTCAATCTAAATATTTCAAATTCATTGTTTCTTCATTAGTTCCCTCACATTGTCATTTTCTTTTGGGTCTTTGTAGGTGTATATAGTCTATTTTGGAGAACATAAAGGTGATAAAGCCATACATGAAATTGAAGATCATCATCACTCTTATCTTCAATCTGTTAAGGAATCCGTAGAAGACGCCAAATCATCGCTATTGTACAGCTACACAAAACACAGCATCAATGGTTTCGCTGCTGAGCTAACACACGATGAAGCCTCTAGACTAGAAAGTACGCAAAACCCTAAAAAGTTAAAAGTCAAAAAATTTAACGAGTTACCAAATTCGTATTTTGTTATGATTTCAAATATGTATTGATTAACACTCAATTTTGTTATTTTGTGTGTTATAGAACTGAAGGAAGTTGTATCGGTATTCAAGAGCAATCCAAGAAAAATATATAGGACCCATACGACAAGATCATGGGAATTTGTAGGATTAAAAGATGAAGAAGGGGATTATCGTGGCGGCGAAGGCGATTATAGACGTCACAGTAATGACGTGAATGATCAGTTTCATGTTGGAAGAAAGTTTTTGAAGAAGGCAAAACAAGGCGAGGGAGTCATAGTTGGTGTTATCGACAATGGTAAGCTTCTTTACTCGTTAATTGTTTTTTTGTCCATTACTATAAAATATAAAAATTAGGGTTTCTAAAATGGCTTCAGTTGTCACTGACGTTTTTTTATTTTTGAGCTACTGAGAAACTTATATATGTTTTTGAATTATTTAGAGAAACAACTTCATGAAACTTGGATAAGTTGATTGAAAGGGTAAAAAATGTTGTTACTCATGTGAAACTTCGTGTCCTCGAGGACCTCGACTAACTTTGAGTTTTTTTCATAAAACCAACCACACACATACAATTTTATGCAGATCTCTTCTGTTAAAAAAATCTTATTTATGATATATATAATTTGTTGAATAACAGGGCCGAAATAATAGCAAAAAGATAGGTTTTTTCAATATCTAAATAAATATATTGTTAGAAGAAATTAATTGTCCTTAGCCAAGTGGTAAAAATCCATCTATGCAGACATTCCACACTAGAGTTTAACTTCCAGGTTCCCTTTCAAGTAAGGTTGGGACTATAAAAAGGAGTTTGCATAAATCAAGATCTCTTGGAAAACTTTTGCCAAAAAAAAAAAAAAAAAAATTAAAGGACAAAATTGTAATATTTTTTCAATCATTTGGTGTCATGTAATTATAATCTTAATCCTTCGTTGCTAATATCTTTTAATAAATATGTGGCCTAATTGAGAATATACTTGTTTATTTATTTATTGGAAAATAAAAAGGGGTGTGTGGCCAGAATCAAGGAGTTTCAGTGACGAAGGAATGGGGACCTATTCCAAAAATCATGGAAAGGAATCTGCCAAACCGGTGTCGCTTTTAAACTCTTCGCACTGGGGGCAAATCGGTAAGATAAACTCTCTCGTTTTTATGATAAAATTAAACAATTATTGTTACAAATATATTTATAAGTACTTTTATCAAGCTCACCTTACTATTTCAAATATATTTTTTAAGTGCTTTTATCAGCTCAGCTCATATATATCAAGTAGCCATTTAATTTATGCCATAAGATTACTGAGATTCCAAGGTTTTAATTTGTATGACTAATAAAGTAGACTGAATATGTGAGTAATATACATGCATGTACATTGATCGCATGAGTACAACCCACATAGAACCTATTGTGTATATATATATATATATATGTTTTGTGGAGAAATTATATATCTTTGCATTTCATTATCAACCAAGTTTTTTATAGATAAAATGATGTATTTTCAAACTTATTATTATTGGATTAACGGTTGATTGAATGATAGTTTTTGTTTTTCCTAAATTTTATTTCCTCTCGCCTTAATTATTCATTTTTGATTAGTGTTACCATCAATTTCGATTATCCTAATTACAGGAAAATTATCGGGGCAAGGTATTACGCAAGAGGGTACGAGAGATATTACGGACCGTTCGATTGCCGCAGCTAAACAAAGACTTCTTGTCTCCACGGAGGACGCCGACGGACATGGGACCCCAGGGGGGGGCGATCTTCAACCGCTCCGTGGACGCCGTTGTTAGCGGTGTATCTGCGTCGTTCAAACGGTATTGCTAAGGGGCACGGCTTCAGGCGGTGCCTCAATTGGCTTTCACCTAGCCGTGTACAAAGCTTGCATGGGCCATTCCAAACGCTGACAAAAACTACGGAAACACGTGTTGTCGACGAAGATTGTTTTAGCTGCGGTGGGGGCGTTTTGACGAACGCGATTGCTGATGGGCGTTTCACGTCATCAGTATTTCGATAGGAACGACTGTGACCTCAACCGTATTTAAAAGACCGGAATTCGCGATTGGAGCGTTGCCATGCGGTTAAGAGAGAATATTTGTGGTTGCGGCTAGTGCCGGTTAATGAAGGACCAGGAGCTGAAAACGCTGTCGGAATCCAAGCTCATGGGGGGGGGTTTGTTTTTTGTTGATTACTGTCGTATGCTAGTAGTCTTGATCGGTATTTTATCGGTCGTCTTGAACTTGGTGATGGGCTATAAATACGAGGTAATAAACCCTAATCATTTTTTATAAGTTTGGGAGTCATGTTTCATTAGTTAAACTATCACTTGAAGTATTTTTTTTTCCTATTATACGATGTAACGCATGTATAATATATAGTGTACTTTTATTTTTGTATAGTCGGACTCGTTGAACGACATTAAAAATGGAACAACCTTTGCTCCTCTTGTGTACGCAGCTGATGATAGCTGTTCCAAGTGTTTCGATGAACTATGCCACCGTGAAGAATTTTTTTTTTTTTTTTAACTCTTTTTTACTACAAAATTATTAAATTATTGTTTTTGAATTGGCCCTTTTTGTTTGTGTATGTGAAGGCTAGTTTACCGATTCACTTTCAACCGATCTTGTGAGAGGTAAGTTGTGTTATGTTTGAGAGGTTACGGTTCAAGACTCGGTAAAAGCCTTGAAGTTAAACGAGCCGGAGGAGTCGGTATGATTTTAGAAATTCTCGGGATAACGATGGAATCAGACCGATCCTCATGTCGTAACCGACCGGGTTGGTTCTCTCGTCCGCGTCATAATTCTCGATTAAATTATATGTTATAACCGGTGCTTCATCAAACCAGCCAAAAACGTACTGTACCATACCAAACGGAAGATTCGGTTTATCCATCTCCAACCGCTCCTTTTATGAACCAGTTTCCAGCCGTGGCCCAAGTGGTAGACCTAAACATTTTAAAGGTACAACACTGCGGACGTTGATAAAGTTAAAATGGCATACAACAGAACCGAATAACCCTTTTTTACAGCCGTATTAACTGCACCGGGATTAAAATATATAGCTGCTGGAGCGGACAATTCACAACGTTCGATCGATCGACGAGTACAGATTATAATATCGACTCAGGGACTTCTATGTCTTGTCCACATGTTGCTGGTGCAATTGCTCTTCTCAAAAGCATTCATCCCACATGGACTAGTGCTGCCATAAGATCTGCTCTCATGACTACAGGTAACTAAATTTTCCGGTCATTTAATAATACTAAACTGAACTATTTGATTTGAGGTGTTTAATCCGGATAGAAACATCAGTTTAAGAAATATAAAAATTAAATATTATCCGGTTTGTTATTTTAATCTGAATTCTTTTTTCTTTCAGCAAAATGTATTTTAATTAGTTTTAAAAAACTATTTTGATAATTAACCTGTGTTTTATTTTTAATTGTAGCTTCGATGACCAACGAGGCCAATGAAGCGATCAAAGACTATGATGGTTACCCTGCAGACCCATTTGCACTTGGTTCAGGACATTTCAGACCAACAAAAGCAGCATATCCTGGTTTAGTCTACGATGCGTCATACCAATCTTATCTTCTCTATTGCTGCTCACTTGCGTTAAGCAAACACCCCCCCCGATGACCCAACATTCAAAAAATTGGTCCTACAAAACAAAGTTCCTCCCGCTTATAACTTAAACTATCCCTCAATCTCAATCATATCTCGCTGGGCAGTGGACCGTTTCGAGGACTGTCACATGTGTTGAGTAACCGGTAATTCAACACTGAGCACTTATACTTCAGATGCTCAACCACCGTTTGGTGTCTCGGTTAAGGTCTGACCGGATGTGCTGGTTTCGTCGTATTGGTCAAAGAAGCAGTTTAATATTTTTATTCTTCAAACACAGAGATACGATATACACGTGAGGCTCGGGAGATAGGTATCGGTTTGGATGGTTGAGTTGGACTATTGAAATCATGTTGTGATAGTCCAATTGCTGTTTCATTGGGTTTGATTCTTTATTTGCTTTTTTTAGAGTAGTTTCTCTGGAACTTTATTGTGGTCAAAATAAAAAGAAAATAAATAAATGTTTTGTTAATCCACTCTCTAGAGGTCCTTTCCTGTGTTCCCTTTTTAAAAAATGTGTGATTCTATATAATCTACTATTCTTTCTTTTTGTGTCTTCAACACAGTTTTGACAAAAAAAAGATTTCCAAAGTAAAATGCAAGGAAAAAAAAAAAAACAATACAAAAATATGACTATATGATCATATAGTTTGAGAATGTCGTCTATAAAAAAAACCCACTACAATCAAAATAGGAAACTTTTTAAAGCAAAAGGAGAAGAAAGGCATGGAACTGAAATTCAAATAACTATCCCTCTAAAAATCTTCAAAGATGGTTGATCTACGGCAGACACAGAAATCATTGTTTTTCTTCCTGTCTATACCATGGGTTGGCCGTTGTATTTTCGCCGGTCCCCCAAAGTTTTGGAGAGGTCTTTAGTTCGGTCGTCATCCTATTGTCTTGAACTCCAGATACTTATCCGCCATGTGTTCAAAACAAAATCAAAGAAGCATATGTTGATTCAATCAAAATGGGAACAGAAGAGCGTGGTTTGATTTCAATCAGCAAATATTGAAGAAAAAACTATCCTCGTTCAGTATCAAAAACACCATACTTGAAATCTCTACATATAATTAAAAAACGAAATGTTATTATTAGATTTAGATTTAATTAAAAGATTTAAATTATTTTGGTTATTAAAACTAATCAAATGATTTTACAATAACTTATATTTGCTCAAAGCGTAGTATATAATTTCACAATTCTAGAGTCTCGAATTACATAAGTTGAAGTTCAAGAACGTTAATCTCTTTGCTACCTATTAGACTTTCGTTTATTTTTGTAAATGCAGTCTGTAACTAGTTTTTGTTTGGTGGCTGTTTAAACCATTAATTCAAATCTGCCAAAAAAAGTTCCAAGAAAAGGGGTAAAGAACGTCATCCATAGTTATTACAAAAAATTCCAAGAAACTTCGTCAAAATCAAGACTTTCGTGTTGTTTAGAGGACTTTACTCACCATTAATTTTGTACGTATTTTATTTTAATTTAAGTAACCCCCCACTTCTTTGACTTGGGGCTCTGTTTCTAAAGTTTTGTGATAATCGTTTTCGTCGTCTGTTTCTGTCAAAGCACCAACATCAAAATTATGCAAACTTTCCCATGCAATTTAAAATCAGTTAGCAAAAAAAAAGAAAAAGTTCTAACATGCAATAAAAAAGGGAATATGCCGTTAATTAAACATCGCCACGTGAAACCACATAAAAACTAAAGAAAGTGACTGTTCGCGGGTAAACAAAAAACTTTGTGAGACACCTAAAGAAAGAAGCTTGATGGTTATTTTGGCGATGTTAGATTGTATAGGACCACGTGGTGTAATATGAGTGGATAGCATTGATAAACTTGAACGCGTACCGCGTGACCTTAAAATGAAAACGCGTAGTGCATTTCGTCCGGACGCGCCGCGCGGATGCGTTTGGTGGCTTCCACACCGACTCAGCTTCTTCCCCAATCATTGTGGTTTTGTGTTGTAGATACTCAATGAATGATGTCCACACAAAAAAAACTCTAAATCAGTATTATTATATCTTCAAATATCATAAATTATATATTAATCAAAGGATCAATCTTCATCAACAATTCAGATTCTCCATATATATATAAAATAATGGTACTGATTCTCAATGGTAAATCGTTAAGATGGCAAAGTATTTCCATGGTTTGATAAGCTTGATTCAATCACACAATTTTAAGAATTCATGTTTAGCCATTTAACGATTCTTTATATTTAATTAATGAACTAGATGTTCAAAAATATTTATTTATTTATTTCCTAATTTCTGTATACATACTTTAAAAAAAATGTTTATATCAATTCTGTCATTTCCATTCAACATCTTTTATATGATTTGGCAATTCTGTCACCAAGTAATATTTGAAAAAGAAAAATAAAATTCACATACACTACTTTCTTAATTTTGTTTTTCATACTATTTTGGTTATTAATACTTAATTAATTAATATGAATCAAAATATTCTTGTAAAATGTAAATCAAGACACTGAATATTTCATTATAGTAAAACAGAGAAGCTTTCCACGTATTTATAGTTTTTTACTTCTGTGAGTTGAGTGATGATGAAGCTTCCACGTATTTCCACAAAGAAAAATCGTAATGTGATGATGTCATCATATGCAACACTAGATTTAGTTATACGCGTACACCGTATATATACAAACCACATGTATACATACACATTTATACTATACGTTAGATCCTTACGTTGTAAAGACATAATATTCTCTTTTTGCCAACATATGTCTCAGTCTATAAATTTCATTTCCCCTATTTTGATATTTTTCTTCTCCATCCAATTCGACAACCTCTCTTAAACGTAACATTATTCTCTTTGTTCTTCGTGCGTGCTTGAGTTTGTAAAAGGGACCCAAAGAAACAAAATCTTTGATATTTCAATGTCGGAAGAATTTGAAGAATCAGACATTATATTTTCCGACAATCTTTAGTCCCAGAGTCTAACCGGAAAAGCTAAACTCTCGAACACCAGAAAGATCGCCCGAAGAGCACAAGACAGCAGATGACGGCGGAGAAAAACATTTCCGGTGAGTATCCCGGCGAATGATATCCGGCGGTGCATGGAATGGGAAAACGATGGAGGAAGAAGATAAGACTCCTCCGCATATAATAATCGAAAGAAGAATGAAGAGAGAAAATTGCGTTTTCCGTTTGTACTCTTAAAGGAAGAGACTTGGATCGTCACCGGAACTCCGTTCTTAGGATGACCGGATTTTTAGAAGCTGATTTATACTTAACCGGCCGGTTCATTTGTTTTATTTTTGATTAATTGGCCGGTTTTTGTCTTAAGCTTTTTGTCTTTTACTTTTTCCGGGTGTGTATTGGATGAATTAAAAAAGTAGAACCTAAGTAACCCAATGGTTTAATTACATGTTATGTTTCTTGTGCTCTTTCACTTCAGGTGTCCGAAATTCTCAAACCGTTGATCAAATATCTCACAATTTACAAATTCCTGAATCGCTTTTGGAGTATTGATGTTTGCTTCTTAGACTGATGACCCTCAAGCAGAAACCAAGAACCAAGCAAAAACTAGGATAATGAAAAGAAAACAGATCACAAGTAAGTTATATACGAATGCGTAGAAGGAGAGAGTTAGTGCATCGAACCATAACAGCTAGAGATTTTTACCAAAGGATAATAAGACCGTCGTCGATCACAACACTCAACTTTACAACAAATCTCACCGATCCTCTACACTTAAGTCCCGGTTTCTCCAACAAACAGAAACTCGGCCAGTTTATAACCGTAACTCTTCCTACACCTCTGCTTCGAATCATATGCTCTTAATTTGTTCTCACGATGATCATAGTAGATCAATATGAACGGCGCTTTTCTTAAAAAAAAAAAAAAAAAAATTAACTGAATTTTATTTGGTTTTCGTAGCACCAAAACATGAGTAAGGTAGGATCATATTAAGACACTTAGATTCAACATCTTATCCGATTGGGTATCTATATTCCATTTGCACATCATAATGGGCAGAAAACGGGGGTTAAAAAGAGAATCTTGAAATGGAACAAAAGAGAAACTTCATCCTTTGTGTCAGCTAGAAGATTCCAAAGCAAATTGTAATTTTCTACCACTGAAATAAAAACCGAATTTAATCTCACAGAAAGTTACAATCAGTCGCTTTCAAAAAGGAAGAAGAAGACGAAACAGAAGAAGGTTTCTTATGCCGCAACAAGATCAGGTGTATCAGCTTCAACGGAAAGCAAAAGTGGTGTGAACTTTGTCGACCCAATTGTCCAATTGATCTCTCAAGGACTTGATCTGTGGAATCCCCAGTACTCTCGGTTGCGCCCACGACACGTAAACTGTTCCATTCACTTGATCTATAATTCCCTCAATCAGATGCACCTGCATCATTCATTCTCACTTTAGACTTCCCACAAATCGTTCTATGTCTACTCCAGGAACAAATCGAGTCAATAATGTTCGACTTCTCTTATCAACAAATGCAAAGAAGAAACTACTTACAGAGAGACTCTTCATGAGAAGGTGCTCAACATCCTCAATGGAAAGTTTAGTACGCTCAGCAATGACACTCAGAGGAATGGTCCTATCTTCGGCAGGTCGGCTGTATTATGGTTTTAAGAGTAAGCTGAATTAGTACAACAATATTGAAGTGGTGTTGAGATTCTATTGGCATAGAGTGAAAGTTACCTGAAGATGATCTCGATAAGGCAGAGAATGTTGATCTTTTCCAACAGTTTCTTTCTCATTCTCAACCAGTGCTGGTTGGGCAATCAAGGCTGCCTGGTGCACACGGCACAGTTCTTGATACTGAACTAAATCGCCATGGTTGAATGCCTGGAGAATGTGGTAAAGCCATTCCACATTTGTTCCAAGGAGACTTTTCAACTGTCATTAGAGAAATTCTACATGTCAGAGATCCCTATACAGTTCCTAAAAAGAACTAGTACAACGTGAGAGTTAGTTAGAAGCTGTTCTCCATGTTCCTTAAAGATCAACAAGAAACCTCTAATCTACAGAGGAAAAGTTTACAGTAAGTTGTGTTGAGGATGAAGGAGAACTTACAACGGGATGGGCCAACAGTTCTCCAAAGTTGTAGATGTTTTCTCCAAGTAGAGCTGAGAGTGATAAATCGAAAGCCAAATCCTGAAAGACACGGAAAATGATATGATATTAGCGATTTGATCTGTGAATTCAGGAAAGCTACAATAGTTAACACTATTTTTATCTTAGGTTTCCTCTAAGTTTTCTTATCCACTAGCGCTAACAGGAAACTTGAAAAGCAAAACCTTAGAACAAGATATGCAACATAACAAGGACGTACCAGCTTAAAGGAGTCCGAGAGTGCCTCCACAGACGTGTATGCAAGATAAAGCAGAGCACTTTTGTAGAAATCAGAAATTCTTGACGGAACTTGTGGTACTGAGAAGACACCCAGTAGAAGTTGGCATAGACCGATGGATCAATGTCAGTCATACTATCAAGAGAGCTCTTCCCATCGTCCAAGATTTTCTTGCACTCCTTCTGGTCACCTTGCTCAAGCTTGAATAAAGCCTTTTGTGTTTCTATATAAATGATTTGGTTCAGTGATCCGAGGCTCCTTAGTGGCTTTGAGTTTCTCAATCACTCCTTCAAGATAGTTAACTGCAGCTTCTTTCTCAGGGTACTGTCGGGAGACAACCACAGCAAAATGCGCAAGCTTCAGAAGATTGATCTTCGTCTCAAAGTCAGTGATGAAATTGTTGTAGAACTGTATTAGAGCATCGCCAGCCTGAAATAAAAACAGAAAAAATTTACATTATAACAAAGAAACATGTTATGAGATTGATACACAAACTTGGACGCAATCGAAAACTAAAATCAATCATCGGATATAAAACGAGCCAGGATCCATAAACTCTGTTGACGTATATCAATGGCATAATTAGCAGACACCAGAAAAGAGCAAAAAACAGGATAAAACTCGGAAAACAGAGGTTTTTGTTTTATATCTCTCAGCCCAAAGATTCATTCACGTTCAGTACCAGCGAACTTCAAACGATAACAAAACTTGAATACTCACGAAATTTCAGCTACATCTAAAAAACCTAACTCGAAAATCTCAAAGACTAACTCGTAGAGAACGCTATCATCGTTCAAACGGATTCGCGAATTCGATCTTATATCAGAGCCCTGCGTAAAAAATCCTAAAAACCCTTCCTTCCCCTTCTATTTTGTTTGTTAATCAGATAATCCAATCTAAAAGAAACAAACTACCGGGGCCATTATGTAAAGTTATAAGTTTAATAGAACTTTTATGTAAATAACAATATACTTAGGACCCGGAAGGCGGAAGTCAGTCCGGGTTAAGGTAATTGGGTTCAAATTTTCGGGTTCGGGTCGGGTCGGATCAATGCTAGTGCTATTACCAGTAGTGGCGTTTTGATTTCTTCTCCCTAAGTTCACACTCGCTTTGAGAGAGAGAGAGAGAGAGAGAGAGAGAGAGCGATGGAGGATGAGGAAGATTTTGGGGATTGGGAAATGATGGAAATCGTCATGAAAGCGGAAGAGAGTTATTGCCCTACTCAGCCGTGTCTGCCTGAGCCTGCTCCAGCGATTGTACCGGTTCCGGCTCCAGCGCCGACGCCGGTGGTGGCGACGATTTCGTCGTCTTTACCACACGCTGTACAGTTACAATCCGCGGGACTACAGAAAAAAATTCCAGTTCGTGATCCTCCTTTCGTCAGCTACTCTCCACCGAGAGTACTCTCTCAAAGAGTAGTAAACGGATTCAATGGCGCGTCAGTGGATTACTCCAACTCTTCGGCGGCTGCTGCTAGACCAAGCTCTCCGAGTTCTTCGACTCGTCCCTATGATAGCGAGAAGGATCTCGAAATCCGTCGTCTTAAGGTTAGGGTTTTGTTAGTGATCACGAGAAGATATTGCTACTTTGTATGTTTCTCATATTGTTTTCTTGGTGGTATATGATAACAGATGGAGCTGGAACGTGTCTCTAAGAAGTTACTGGATACGGTTCGATTATTATATCCTTGAGTTTTCAGTTCATATAAATTTCTGTTTTTTTTTTAATCTTTGAAGTGTTAAAAATGATCTTTGATGGGTTACCACATTGTTGTATCAGGAACAAGAATTTTCTCAGCTGAAGAAGGGGAAAAGCAAAGAAACACAGTCCAAAAACTTGCGTGATGAAAAGAAAGGGAAATGTGCTACAGTTCATGCTTCTAAGAGAACAAACTTGTGAGTGAATGTTGGTTCTCCTGTGTTATTTAGTGAGATGAAAGCATCTAAACTTGGGGTATTTAGGTTGATTCATTTCTGAATTAGCATTGCCTTGAAGCATCCAGTTTTGTAGAATGTAGCGTGTCTCATCGTTACAAAACTAACCCTTCATTAGCTTGCTACTTTTATTTTCCTTTACAAATCACAAGATTGGACTGATGAACAAGTCTTTTGAAACAGGGAGCCAGATGGTGCGACTTCAGTAAATGATCGAGGAATCGATTCTACAGCAGTGTTAGATGACAAAAGAAGTATGTGAATGTAGATTTTTTCGATAACGAGTCTGAAGATTTTGAAGTCTTGTTGTGTTGATTTTGTTTTTTTTTTGGTTCTGATCATAATTTCTGATTTGGCATACGTCAGGCTTCAAGACCACTGGTGTTCAGGCGGATCTGACCAATCATTCTGACCTTTCAAAGAAACTGCTAGATATCTGGTGCACCTCGAATTATCAAGATCCAAGGAAAAATCTAATCACAGAGTTGCTACTGGCTTGTTCAGCAGATCTCCAGATTCTCTTTAGTTTTATGAATATCAGTACGCCTCCCAAAGAAAAAGACAAGCAGGCAGCCAAAACCTTGTCGAATATGCAATCTTCTAAACCATTAGAATCTGAAAAAGTATCTCACTTGTATTCTGCTGTAACAAAGGTAAGGTTCAAACATTAGACTTGTCAGTGTATACAAAGTAGGTCATACTATTATGTATATTTGAACTGCCTATGTCTGCTGCAGATCAGCTATGGGTTTGTAAATTTGAAGACCTTGGTTGAGCCACTACTTGGTCTTTGTAAGGCGGAAAATGTATGTCAGATTTCAATTCAAGGCTTTATCTGCTATTTGGATCTCTTTCATTTTCTCCCTGTTTGATAAGTGTATGCATCTGTCTTTCTTTGCAGGCCGTTCTTGTTCATAGATCTCTACATGTACTACATGTGCTCTTGGAGCATATATGTGGTGTTGAAGAGAGATTTGAAGCCAGGTATCTACTCTCTCTATCTGCGGTTAGTTTTCTAATTTTCTCCAATGTTTCTTTGCTTAACATAAAGCATTGCTTGTAAGAAAAAAATTGTTTTCATGATCTCTCATTAAATGAAGTTAGGTTCATAAAATATGTTTTTGAGTTTTTGAGTTCTCCTTCGAGAAATTATAGTCTTTATAGCATTCTTATGAGCTTTGATTTGAACTTTCCAGTGCACTCTATCAGGGACAATACCACAGGTGAGGAGGCCAGCAGCTCTTGCGAGGTTGCCGAGTTTCATGGATACAAAGGTAGAGGGAAGACTAACTTGAGCATTGGAGAGTCAGTTTACTCGAGTAATATCCCATTACGGGGAAGATCTGATGCAGAGTCGAGCAGTAAGAGTCAGGGAGATACTGATAAAGCTCAGCCAAGTTGGGATGCAAACTGGCATTCACTGTTTGAATTGATGAATCAAATTGCTAGCAAAAGAACCGAAGCTAATGTGAAACTGGAAGCAGTGTCTATAATGAACATAATCGTGATGAGAACTGATGCGTATACAGAGAGAGAAACGTAAGCTCTCAAACCATTCTTTTTTCTTCTTCTTCTACTCTGCTAACATTCATGTAACGATTATTCTTTTCTGTGACCAGCTTTGTCTCCAAGGAAGTTTTTGAGAGCATATCGTTACTTTTAAAAAGAGAAGCTGGCTTACACGTTCGTAAAGGAGCTATTCATCTTTTCTACTTGCTGCTCAATTGTAAGTGTGAGATGCATTCGTCTTTCTTCTCTAACCTATCTATTTATCTCTATAAGTATTGAATTGAATTTCTTTATATTCCGTTTCAAAGGTCCAAAACTATTAGCTAGATTTGACTCTCTCCATGAGGAAAAAAGATCTTCAGCTTCTTGGAACGACAGCCAAGGAAATCTCTTTGCTTTGGAAGCATTTGGTATGATCTTTGAAGGTCTAGCAGATTGTCTTACTTCTCCAAGAAAGACATCAGAGGTACAAAAAGAAACACGAAGAAAAATCTTAATGTCAAGTAGATCTTCTGAAACTAAGGATTAACACAGCTTTTTGTTGGTTGATCGTGAACTTCAGGATCTGGAACTGTGTCGGAATGTAATAATGATCTTGGCATTAGTAGCATCTTCAGGAAACTCTGGCTATGAACTACTCTCAAGTCACAAACTACCTCAAGACACCAACTTCTTAATGCTGATACTGCATCTGTTAGCAGCGGAAATAGACTCGGAATCAACAGAGTCGTACACAAAAGCGGAAATTTTCAAAGCGAGGTATGTATATATATTCATGTGTTACAAGTTTTGTGTGTGTTAACGCTAATTTAACATGTAATTTATTATTTTACTGACGACACAGGATACTGTTGATGAGAGAGATACTGATATTACTAAACAGACTTGTCTCTGGCTCTTCAAGCTCTTCTACGATTCTAAGGGAGTTAACAAAGAGCAGAGACATGGCGAGTCTAACGGTTGATGCAGCCACAAGATTGTCTCGTAAAAGAAACTTACTTATACAATCCGAAAGCAGTGTTGGGAGAATGAGGGAATCTGAGATCATGGACTTGGCACGCATTTTCAAGAGACGGGTCTTCGCTTTCTTAGGTGACAATACTTGATTAACACACAAATCTCATTAATGGTGTTAGGAGCAATTGAGTTTTTTTTGTTTTTTTTTGTGAGCATATGTATATCTGCAAATTTTGATTGAGGAAGTATCTTTGAATGATGTGACCTCTGTTGTTTCGGTTCACTTTTTGATCAGACAATCACGAACTTGTAGCCATGTTCTGTAATTCATTAAAATGGTGTAGGGGTGAGGAATTGTCTGTTGGACCTGTAAGACTCTTACAGCGAAAATTCAGATTGAAAATCACGAATAAAATTCAGATTGAAAATCACAAATCAAAGAATGATTGAAATCAATAATAAATGATAATAAAATATAAAACACTTTTAATAAAACCTTTAAGGAAAAACGATACACGGAGTCGAGATATGATATCTTTCCTTAATTTTTTAAATTTTTCACACTATGGCGGTTTGATGAGATTCAGAATCCCAAGATACAACCATGTTGAGACTAAAGTCGCAACACTCGACTATAGAATCTGCGAACTTAAAATTCTACGCTATACTCTTGAGACTTATCTAAGACTGTAGAGACAAGAGGGATTTGCTGGAGTTTATGTTTGAAATCTTATTGCTTTTCTGGATGAAGAATAATGAATGAGAGAGGTCCTTATTTATAGTGGAAGAGAGGTTTGTGATACAAGGAATTTTCCTTATTACTCACAGCAGATAAACGGAAATATTCCGAATATATTTGTTCCTTGTTCGACAAAGTTAAGGAAAAACGAAAATATTCCGAAAACCTTTATTCCTTGTTTGACAGAGGAAACAGAAATATTCCAAAAAATCTGTATTCTTTATTTGACAAGGATAAGAGAAATGGAAATATTCCGTAAAATAATTCGACTCAATCAATAAAGATTTATCGATATTATACAAAATTATAAATAGAATATTGACAATTTTATTAAATAAGTTAATAAAGGTTTATTCCAAAAAAGAAATTATTTTATGGTTTTGCATAATAGCCCTCATACTTCCAATATATAACAAATGCACATTTTGACTTTTAGTCTTGATTACATATCCATTTTGACCATTTATTTATTATTCAAAGTAACTTCGATTTTGACAAGTAATTACACTTTCTATTAGTGCTCATTACAAAGATTTCAAAGAATCCATAATTGTCAAAATTTAAGTTCTAACAATCTCCCACATGAATAGAAATTACTCTAAAACATATGCAGACTCTACTAACTCGAAAGACTATGCAGACACATTAGGACTTGACACTAGGACTTTTCGAGAGTATAGGCGAAAAATTAACTGTGTATGATATAGTAGCATATTTCAGCCTTGAACTATTCATTGTTGATATCTGTCGAGTTTACTTGGCCAGGAGGTGAACATGATGTCTTGAACCGCCCGAATTTTTATGTAAACTTACAACAGGTACAACCCAGTCTCATCTTCTCGTAGAACTAAGTTCTCTGTTGTGTTCATTGTGGCCGTAAACTTACCTGGTTGTCATGAGTGAACTTGGAGATATAGCCTCGTCTTCATCCTCCTAGAAACGGCCGCATTTCACACTCACTAGGTGATTTCTTTGAGCTCCTGACATATACACAAGTATCCTGTTATACTCTATATTATGAAAGCTACTCAAAATCATTAAAAGTATAAAACTTATCCTTTAATACTTACAGGGAGCACTGTACATCGTTTTGGGAGATGGGTACAGACGTTATGTCTTTCAGTGCTTTCATCAGACTCTGTTCAATTTGGTTGTCCCTTTGAACTTAGATCTTGGGATCTCCAATTACATAAGTGGGGTTTCCATCAAACATCCTCTTTAGTCATAGGCAATAAACCCATTCCCTTTGATGATTTCAAAACTTGATCTCTATTTAAACCTTTAGTGAACGGATCCGCAAAGTTCTCAGCTGACTTGATGTAATCAACCGAGATTACACCCGTTGAGATCAAATGTCTAATGGTCTTATGTCACCTTCTGATGTGGCGAGACTTACCATTGTATAGGTTACTCAATGCCCGAGCTATTGCTGATTGACTATCACAATGCACTCGTAATGCTGGCACTGGTTTCTCCCACATGGGGATGTCTTCAAGGAAATTCCATAGCCATTCTGCTTCCTTGCTGCCTTGTCTAGCGCTATGAACTCAGATTCCATTGTGGATCTTGCTAACAGAGTTTGTTTGGAAGATTTCCAAGATACTGCTGCACCTCCTAGAGTAAATATGTATCCACTTGTGGATTTCGAATTCTTTGAGTCTGATATCCAGTTTGCATCACTGTATCCTTCCAAAGGTGCTGGTTATTTACCGTAGTGCAGCCCATAACTCTTGGTGTATCGCAAATAATTTAATACCCTTGTTATGGCTTTCCAGTGTGTATGACCTGAATTACTTGTGTAACGACTTAACACGTTGACAGCATGCGCAAGGTCTGGTCGTGTACAATTGGTTAGGTACATTAGACTGTCAATGACCCTTGCATATTCCACTTGTGAAACAGCTTCACCGGAGTTCTTTGTCAAGTGTAGTTGCGAATACACGGGAGTCTTCGCAGTTCCGTTTGAGTAGGCCTTGAACCTCTCTAGAATCTTTTCAGCATAATGACCTTGAGACAAAGTGATGCCTTCAGAGGTGCGTGTAATCTTTATGCCAAGGATAACATCTGCAAGATCCATGTCTTTCATGTCAAACTGACCACTAAGCATTGTCTTGGTTTGTTGGATGATATCATTGTTACTTCCCATGATGAGCATGTCATCAACGTATAAACACAACAAGATATACCCATGAGGAGTACTTTTGATGTAGATGCATTTATTACACTCATTTATGCTGAAACCATTTGACATCATTACATTGTCAAACTTTTCATGCCATTGCTTTGGAGCTTGTTTCAGACCATACAGTGACTTCACAAGTCTACAGACTTTATGTTCTTGACACGGGACCACAAATCCTTCGGATTGCTTCATGTAAATCTCCTCTTCTAGATCGCAGTTTAGAAAGGCCATTTTTACATCCATTTGATGGATTTCGAGTCCTCTCAGGGCTGCAACTCCTATCAGAATTCTTATTGAAGTTATTCTCGTTATTGGAGAATAGGTATCGAAGAAATCTAGACCTTTTTTTTTTGTCTGAATCCTTGAACCACAAGTCTGGCCTTGTACTTCTCAATTGAACCATCAGTTTTCAACTTGGTTTTGAATATCCATCTACACCCTAGCGCTTTGAAACCTTGAGGTAAATCAGTGATCTCATAGGTATGATTCTGCATTATAGAATCAATTTCACTATTAACTGCTTCTTTCCAGAAAGATGCATCAGGTGTAGACATGGCTTCTGTGTATGATCTCGGCCCATTCTCTGTGAGAAATACCATTAAGAAATCATCACCAAAAGATTTTTCCTTGCGTGCTCTCTTGCTACGTCTAGGTTCATCTTCTTCATCTTTTGCTTCATCAACTGAAATTCCAGAAGTGCTCTCCTCATTTATAGAGATGCTAGTGTCTCTTTCATCATGAGTGCGTTTCTTACTTTGTTTCTCTTTGCATGGAAAGATGTTTTCAAAGAAAGACACATTCATAGATTCCATTATCGTATTGACATGGATGTCTGGTACATCTGACTTATGTACTAGGAATCAATAAGCACTACTATTATGTGCATATCCGATGAAGATGCAATCAACCGTTTTAGGCCCAATTGTCAGCTTCTTAGGAGGTGGCACAACGACTTTTGCTAAGCACCCCCACACTTTGAGGTATTTGTACGAAGGTACAGTTCCTTTCCAAAGTTCATATGGCGTTTTGCCAGTAATCTTGTGTGGAATTTTGTTGAGGATGTAGTTTATGGTGAGCAGCGCTTCCCCCCACAGATTCTAGGGTGTCCCAGATTCCTGCAACATTGCATTCATCATCTCTTTCAGAGTGCGATTCTTTCTCTCTGCAACTCCGTTAGATTCTGGTGAGTAGGGAGCGGTTGTTTGATGTATAATGCCTTTTTCTTGACAGAAAGCGTTAAAAGGTCCATCATACTCGCCTCCTCTATCACTTCTAACCATCTTAATGGTTTTTCCCAGTTGGTTTTCAACTTCGAGCTTGTACTCTTTGAATTTGTCCAAGACTTCGTCTTTACTTCGCAGTAAGTAGACGTAACAGTATCTTGTGCAATCATCAATGAAAGTCACAAAGTACTTCTTACCACCCCTAGTTTGTATATACTTTAAATCGTACAGATCAGTGTGGATTAAGCCAAGAGGTTCGGTTGTTCTTTCAACATGAGGAGATGGTATTTTGTGAGTTTTGATTGTACACAAACTTCACATTTGTCTTTGCGAATTTTGCATTTGGGGATTAAGTTCGAATTCATCAGCCTTTGTACAGACTTATAATTCACATGTCCTAAACTTTCATGCCAAATATTAGAAGACTCAACCAAATAAGCAACTGGTTTCTTATTCTTATCATTTTTGGAAACAGGTACATCGTTTTTATTGAGGATGGTCATTACACACATTTTGACCAATCCTTCCTTAACAAATCCTTTTTCAATGAAAACACCATTCTTCCTAAGAATCAGCTGGTCAGATTCGAAATTGATTGCAAATCCGTGCTTGCTCAACAGCGTGCCAGAGATCAGATTCTTCCTCATGTCTGGAGCATGCTTCACGTTTGAGAGCGTGATCTCTATTCCTGATGTCATCTTCAGCACCACCTTTCCGGTACCTTCAATCTTGGAGTGGGACATGTTTCCCATCAACAAATGTTCATCAGTTTTGCAATTTTGATAGGTGTTGAACATATCTCTATCAATGCAGATGTGTGTGGTAGCGCCAGTATCGTACCACCATGCCCCTGGGTTTTCTTCAACCATGTTAGCTTCTGTTACAACTGCGCACTGATCAGCTTGAGTTAGGTTGGCTTGGTTAACACTCTTGGCCTTACTGCGACAGTCTGTAGCACGATGTCCCATCTTGTCGCAGTGGTTACACTTCCCAGAGAACTTCTTATTAGAAGCGTGAGCTTGCTTCTTGAAGTTTGAGGGGGCTTGATTTGCAACTTTGTGAATCGCAGCCTTTGGAGAAAAGCCCTTTCCTTTCCCCTTTTTCTTAAACTCAGCCATATTTGCGGCATGTGTCTGAGGTGGTTCAGCCTTGTCACGTTTTTGTGACTCATTCTGAAGCCTGGTAATCAAGTTAGCCAACGACAGAGGCTTCTGCTTGTAGTTGAGGTAGCTCTTGAAACCGTCCCAGCCTGGGGGCAGCACCTCCATGAAGCAGTTAACCGTGAAGGTC